CTTGACGGTTTATTATTCTTGGAATATTGTATCTATTACAATATTCAAAGGCTATTCGTATGAGTTATTTTTGTTGTTTATTTGGGAGTTACGTTCATCAATAACTTGTTATTATGCCCTTTAATTATCTCTTTAATAGGAAGTTACTCCTCTTAGTTGTTGGCCGTTTTCCCTTTGACATTTTTGTCATATTCTTCCATCTATTTCTATATATATTTTGTATTACCAACTTCAAATAAACACACACTCAAAAAATCAGAAATATTCTCTTCTTCTCTCTAAAAATACTCCGGCTTAGGGCAAGTATTCTGAATTCCAGTTAAATTTTGTGAGTGCACACAAATACTGCCAATGTGCTTATACTAGAGAGCGACCACTTGATATCTACTGTACTGGGGTAGCGTGGAATCATCTTTTAGGTCAGTGGTTCACCACGACATGACAACTGTCAATTTGACCAACATTGAATAAGTATTTATTGTATTATATTTGCTTATTTACTAAATTACTAACAATCCAAAAGACGATTAATTGACTTCCTTTTTTTTATTATTATTATTGGTATGTTAAATTTAGATAATGTTGTGATTTGGTTTTAGTCCGACTATTTTCTTTTATTAATTATAGATTTATGGATTATGCTGTTCTTGTAGTTACATGATTCATTAAGCAACTAGGTTAGAACCCGTGCGATACACAATTTATATAAAACCTAACATTAATTTGTACATTTTAAAAATTAATCGCTATTATACATGACTATAAATAAGAATTACTTATATTTTTTAATTTTAAATTTTTTTATTTTAATAAAAATTATGATATAGCATTTGTTCAACATTGTCTAATTCACAGTTCAATGTGGGAGGTCATTTAATAGTGTGCTATTTAAAATTGTTTCAATTTCCTACGATAAATTGATAGATTTTAGTTATAATGTAGAAGCTTTCAATATTTAATTAAATTTCAAAAATGTTAAATATGATATCTTTCGAAAAAAAAAGATGACATCATTATTATATTTAGGCAGAAATATTTTTTTATTGATAAAGCGACACGTGGGCAATGGTGATGTCAGCAACTTATGTTTTAGAAATAGTTAATAGATATATTATGGATTGTGATAGTATTGCTTATATGAGTTATTTTCATGGTATATATGATTATTTATATAATTTACAATGACTAATGCAAATATGTTTATAATTTTACAAATGCAAAATATATGACTATATTTTACTAATGCAAAATATATGATTTTTTTAAATTTTTTTTTACAAATGTTTATAATTTTAGACAAGCTATTGATTTTTTTTTTTGAAATAATTTTTCCTTAGTTGGAGAATATCCTTTGAATAGTACCATACGTTCCAAATTATTTTCAATAATTATTTTCATTTTTTCCAATAGTATAATATGCTCCAAAATAATTTAGAACATTGGAAAAAAAAATTTAGAACATAAGCTGAAATAATAATTTAGAACATAGGAACAAAATTTAGAATATAATCTTAAGAAATTAGAACATAAAAAATAATTTGGAACATAAGTAGAAAAAAATTTATAATATAGGAAAAACTTTAGAACATAAGCAGAAAAAAATTTAGGACATAGGAAAAAGTTTAGAACATAAAATGTTCTTACATACGAAAGGGTTCTTATATAAGGAGTAATTCTTACAGGATCCTTCCCATAGAGGAAGGCTCCTATAAGGACCCTTCTCTATGTAAGTACTCAATCTTATATAAGAACCAATCCCATCCCTATATTAGTTTTGATCTTACCATCTAAAATAATCCTTTAGTAATGACATTTTTGTAATTTTGAGAAGTTTATATTTAGAACATAGAAAAAAAATAAATTAGAACATAGAAATTTTTTTAGAACATAAGCAGAAAAAATTTAGAATATAGGTAAAAAAAAAAATTTAGAACATAAGCAAAGAAAAATTTAGAACATAAGAAAAATAATTTAAAACATTAGTTGAAAAAATAATTTATAACATAAGAAAAAATTTATAACACAAGTTGAAAAAATAATTTAGAACATTGGAAAAAATTTAGAACATAAGCTGAAATAGTAATTTAGAACATAGGAACAAATTTAGAACATAAGCTTAAAAAAAATTAGAGCATAGGATATAATTTGGATCAAAGTAGTGTGGGGGACTATTAAAAGTGGATGTAGTGTGGGACTGCTCATTGAGGGTTATAAAGGGAGAAACTTTGGTGGCTAGAGGCCGGTAGCTTTATGCTAACCGGATATCCATCTCCTACCACTGTCTCAACTCCTTTTGATAATCTTTCTTGATGTCAATAGCATTTGGTCCTCAATTAGCCTTGAATACAATGGATGTAAGCTAAGATTCAACAATGGTTAGATCAAAATAAATGGTTAAGCACCTTAAACTGCCTTGATACAATATGTGGACGATGATATTCCTCAAAATTGTATCTGAATAAAGGCTCCAATGAACGTACACCACTAAATCTGATCATGCAGGCGGTCGGGCAACAAATTCCGAAGTATAGGGATGCCATTTTATATACAATGTCCAATAAAAAAGAAATTAAAATAAAGAACATGATTATGAAGGAAGTAAAACCATCTACCAACAAAAATGTCAGCCTATGGCCAAGCTAGTAGAGACATAAGGCAATAAATAACTTGGAAATTAGAAAGAAAATAAGCGAGTAGGAAGGATGGTAATAAAATTTAATCACAAAATAGCCAAAGGAGTAAGCAACCCAATACTCAAATGGACAGTATATGCACAGAACAAAAGAATTAAAATGGAACCAAGAAATCAATGCACAAGGAACCCAACTTAGCAATAAAAATTAAAGCAGTAGAATAAAGAATCGAAGCCAACGGGCAAACAAACCCAAAAGACATAGTGAACATCATATAACAATTAAAAGGAAGTGGAAAGTAATGAAGGGGATATTCCAACGGTACATTAAACATTGATCTAGGAAACAAGTAGATTCCAACATAACACATTATGAAGAAAACTGAAAACTTATCATAAATTGTAAAGAACCCAAAGATAGGTGAGCCAGCAGGAGGGGGGATAGGCTAGGGAAGATTAGGGCCCTCAGGCTTTAAAAAAGCTACATCCTTGGGTCATAAGCCATACTTGGGCCATAAGCCCCATGGGCAACACTGAGCAACTTGAAAGGCTATTCCTTCAACCAAACGCTGCCCAAACCCAACCCTAAGGGGAAAACTGGTATGGGAAGGAAGGTGCCTTGAACCTTGGAAAGGCTGGAAACAAGGGGGAAAAAACAAAGGCAACAAAACAACCAATGGGGAAGAAAGAAATCATCAGGGACAGAGTAGCAAATAAGCAAAGTAAAATCTCAGTAGAACACAAAATCCGCGACAATTGCATGGTTGATCGGACGGTAGGTGATGGAGCAAATAATCATAGAGTAAAATGGGTGTGAGTTGTGATACAACAATGGTTGGATCAAGATCAATGTTGTCAAGCACCTTGAACTGCATTTATACAAAATTTGAACAATTGATATTCAACAAAACATTGGGGCTTTGTTTCTACAGTTTTGTGGAATATCATTGTCCGCATATTGTATCAATGCAGCTCAAGGTGCTTGATAACATTGATCTTGATCCAACTATTGTTGCATCACAACATCACGCCCATTTTACTCTATGATTTGCTCCATTATCTCCCGTTCGATCAACCATGCAATTGCCAAGGATTATGTGTTCTACTGGGATTTTACTTAGCTTATTTGCTACTCTATCTTTGATGATTTCTTTCTTCCCCATTGGTTCCTTTGTTGTTTTTGTGTTTCTCCACCTTTTCAGCCTTTGCATTGTTCAAGGCACCTTCCTTCCCAGACCAGTTTCCCCCTTAGGGTTGGGTTTTAGCAGCATTTGGTTGAAGGAATAGTCTTTTAAGTTGCTCGGTGTTGCCCATGGGGCTTATGACCCAAAGATGCAGATTTTTTCAAACCTAAGGCCTAATCTTCCCCATCGCGCCTCCTTGCTGGTTCACCTATCTTAGGGTTCCTTACAATTTATGACAAGTTTTCATTTTTCTTCAGTGTGTTGGAATCTACTTGTTTCTTCGATCAATGTTTAGTATACTGTTGGGTCATCCCCTTCATTACTTGTTTCCTCAATCAATGTTTAGTATATTGCTCGACCAATGTTTAGTATAGTGTGTTGCAATGCACAAGTTATTCATAGAAAATTGCATTGAGGGATGAGTGAGGAAATTTCAATAAGTTATTATGGTTATTATGTGTAATCGAAAAATTTGATATAAAAAAATTATATTTTTGAAACTTTAATTGGAATAAGGCTTGAATAAAGAACGTGGAAGGACTAAAATTAAAAAGAGCAAAGGAAAAGGTTAAATTGAAGAGGGGAGATCGATGAAGATGAAGTGTGTAACGGTGTATAGAAGATGAAGGGTAAGTTTAATGAAAGAATTAAAGAACAATAGTGTAATAAAAAATTAATAATACAAGAAGACATTTGACACTTGGGTTAGAGAAGTATAATAGGATGGGAACATGTGTATTTCCGGTTAGAGTTTTTAAATACTAAGTATATATGTAAGAATTTGACATGACAATTTTAAGATTAAAATTTCAATTTATATACTTATGTCTTTAAAATCTTGAAATTGAGCCAAATTCAATTCCCAAATTTTAAGTACATCCAAATAAGGTAATTAGGACAAATCCAAAATTTCAAAATGAAATTGTAGTTTTCAAACAAGCCATTATTAGGTACAAAATAATATGTTAATAAATTATCTAACACTCTAAAACACTCGTAAGCAAGATCCAAGTTAAAAAATTGCGGAGTAGACATTAGTAACATCAAGTAACGCTTAATTGATTCCTAAACGACCAACCCATAATTGTTTACAGAAATACAATAATATCTTAGTGCTTCTAATTAACTACTCCTAATCAGACTTATCATATATAGTAATCATAATTTCACAACTGTTGTTGAAAATCACCGACAACAATTCCAATATCAAAATCTGAACCCACCAAACTATCAACACTAAAATAGTCAACAGTTACTCAACACCAACAACATAGGAGGTTGTCTACTGTCTTCTTACCACTTTAAACTCCATCTTTCCTTCTTCATTACACTAACTCTCTAATCCACTCAGTACTACTACCAACAAAGTGGTTGCCATTTTAACAAGAAACATTGTAATTGTAAGATATCTGCTTTTTTCTAATCTCACACTTACTCAATTCTTTCAATCAAATTCATTTTCTTCTGATTTATTTACCAATTTTATTACAAATTTCTGAACTTTTTAATGGATTATGAAGTTGTGTTTCTGGGTTCACTTTCATTGATTTATTTACTTGCTTTATTGTACTGGGTATTCCTTAAAGATTTGATTAATGGTCTTAATTTGAGCTCATTTGGTCAATTTAAGAAATTTTATACTAGGGTTTCTAGTTTTGGGGATTTAAATTTAGTGGGTAATAATGGTAAAAACTCAGGTATAAGATCTGTTAATGGGATTTTAGCAACTGGGTGTTTGTTGATTTTCTTTCTAATTTTAGGTTTTGCATATTGGTTACTTTCTAGTGATTTGCAGCCTAATTCATTGGATCAGGGTTTTAGTATTCCTGGTCCTAATGATGCAAAAGGGCAATGTAATTTGTTTGATGGGAAATGGGTTCCTGATGATAGTTATCCTTTGTACAATGCATCTGATTGCCCGTTTGCCGAGGCCGGATTTAATTGCTTGGCAAATGGGAGAAGAGATGGTGATTATATGAAATGGAGGTGGAAGCCTAAGAATTGTGATCTTCCTAGGTTTGATGTACAAGCTTTATTGAATTATCTTCGAGGAAAGCGGGTCGTGTTTGTGGGTGATTCATTGACTAGAACACAATGGGAGTCTTTTATTTGTATGCTTATGTCTGGGGTAGAAGATAAACGGTTTGTGTATGAAGTTAATCAGAATTCGATTTCGAAGAAGATTAGGTTTTTGAATGTGAGGTTTGATTCTTATGACTTCACGGTCGAGTTTTACCGGTCTGTTTTCCTATCCTGGCTTACCACTCCACCGAAACGTGCACCCAAGAGAGTTAAGTGGACCATTAGACTTGACAAGATGGATAATGCTAATGAAGAATGGATTGATTCTGATGTCCTGATATTCAATACCGGGCACTGGTGGACGAAGACTAAGCTTTTTGAAACGTAAGTTCCCAAGATCTTATTATATGCTTTGATATGATTTGAAGGAATTGTTGAACTTTGACTTGCTAAACTTTATAGATCTTATTTGTTTGGTTCTCTTTCTCACTAATTTTGTGTAGTATGATCCGGTTTTAATGTTGTTGTCTTTCACTTTCACTTGCATACAACTCATTAAGTCATTATCCCATTATACTTGAGTGAATGGTGAGAACATGGTGAAATTCTATAATTTTGAGTCAGAAAATTCTAAAGGGCACATCAGTAATGATGAACCTGTCGTAGTGATGGGATACCAATGGCTTATAATATATATAGTGTATCAGAGGCTATACATATAGTCTTTCTTAAATGTATGATGACAGCACCATTGTGTATATGCTATAGGGAGATGCACAAATATTTAGTGGTATAATTTTCCATTAGGTTTTGGTTATAAGAATATAAGTGCACATCAACAGTCATTTACCAATTGTCATGAGCAAGGTTTTTCGACATTCAAAATCCATCTTAAACCTATATTTGGTGTCTCTTTTACTGTTGTGGGTTTATGGTTGCACAAGCCACATTGTTACTTCCACCTTAGGCCATGCTTGGATTGAAGGTAATGAATTAAGGGAGTAATAAAAGTCAAACTAGGAAAACATAAGTGATTAGAGGTGATGTTATACGAGACAAGGTGTTTACAAGTGAAATAAGGTAGTTGTGATATGATGAAAAGAGAGAGATGGAGGAATCATTACGTTCATAATGAGAGTTTTAGTTACCCACCACCCTCCTAGGATAACCGTGAAACCCCCAAAATGAGGGTAATAATTCCCTTTACTTCACCTCTCACCACACCATCGCTATATAATTCCATCTAGAATGACACCATCGCTATATAATTCCCTCTACAATGACACCATCACTATCTCATCCTTTCTTATATCCAACTTCATATTCTTTAGTTTGACTTTTATTAACCTGGTAATACAATACTATCAATCCAAGCAAGCCCTTATTGGGAATAATCTTGTTTTTGCTTTTCAAGTTTATTCCCAATAAGGGTTTTTTGACCCTGATGAGCAAGGCAAACAGAGTTAACTTTATCCCCTGTTTTCTAATCTCAATGGAATACAGTAACTGGTCTTATAAACTAACCTATTTCTGCTGTCAAAAAATCATCTCTCCCAGTTCTTACGGAATTTCACTACACTTGACAGGCCTTTACCAGAATTCAAGCTGAAATACACTATCACTTCTTTAACACCCTTTAACCTTATGTATTTATTATTTACCTGGTCACTCATTTAATCTTGATCTGATGTTGAATCCCCTCCCACCTTACGCTAGCCACCAGCCTCCCCCTCCTTTGACTTTGGTGGGGGCATCAGGGAAGTGGTGAATGTTGAAGGATATGGTGATATAATTTCAAAATTTTGTGATGATGTCACATGGCATAAATTCGTCCAACACAAAGAAGACCTTGTAAGACTAAACTTGAAGGATTAGGCCTGGTGGGGGAACTTATCAAGTATAATAGACTGTATACTTGAAATCATCAGTTTCTCAGAATTAATGAATACACAGAATGTACATGACACGACTATATCAATATTAATGATATAGGCTTGCTGCCTGTTTCAGTTATCAACTCACGAGCTCTTGTCATATCTCTTTCTCTATAATAAGATGTCTATGTGCTATCTGAGAGGATTTACTTTTCAGTATCTTGTTTTCCTAGTTATCATTTTATATTTCTAATGTTTGGTGGAAGGGGTAATCCCTTGAATTACAGCTATAATAAACTCCTTATATTACACATCATTGGAAAAACACCTGTGTCTTTATTTTAGTTACTCCAATTATTTTAGGAATCATTGATATTAGTTATTTCAAGGTTTCTCCATTTTGTGATTTCTTGATTGGTTGTTTTGTATGTAATTGCTTCTAACTTGTTTATTCAGACAGGGGTACCTATTTTCAGGTTGGTAAATCTCTGAAACTGGGAATGCCAGTAAGTAAAGCTCTGACAAAGGCTCTTGAAACCTGGGCATCATGGGTTGAGTCGAGGATCAATCATAATAGGACCCATGTATTCTTTCGTACTTTTGAAGCTTCTCACTGGAGGTGAGTTTTGTTTCAGACTTCAGGATATACATATTATAAATTGCCTTTCAGTTTGATTATGGTGTAATTTAAAGTTAGAACTTTCTTAAAGAAGTTTAAAGTGTTCTTTCTCCGAGACATGATTATGATCCTATTAAACAGTAAAAGTTCATACATTCCTTACCGTCTTCCCCCTCCTTTTCCCCTTTTGGTTATTCTGGTGTCTTGATACAATCTGTGTTTCCAGCTCATTAATGCCAGTATGTGCTGTAGCATCATTGTCATTTTCCAACTGATCTAATGCTTTCTCAAAATGGACTAGAAACTCTTTCTCCAAGTAAGCAAGGGACCATATATCAAGCTTGGCTTAGTTCTAGCATGACAACTTAATATAGACATGTGGATATAATTTGCGGATAAAAGGAAATCCCCAATTAATTGAAATTGCAGAAGTATTTTATTACTTCCTCTATCTCCCTAAATAAAAGTCCCATTTCACTCAAAATCCTTGTCCAAATATAAAAATCTCACTTCACCTTATCCGTTTCTTTATTTACTCATTACTAACCAAACCCCATTTTTTTCTTTTCTATTCACATTAACCAACCAAATCCCACAACCTTGTTTTTTATATTCACCTTCAATCAAACCAAATTCCACTATTTTATTTTTGTATTTACCTTCCCAGGAACATTTGTAAATGACAAGTGAGACTTTTTATTGGGGATGAAGGGAGTAGCATATTCTTCGTACTTTGGTTATGCCTATAGCAACATAATTGTTGATTTGGAGAAGAAAAATGTGGATTGTGTAAGGCTGTATATTGGTGTTGTTAGGAGCACTCTTTACTTGTAGGCTGTAGCTGTAGCTCTGTAAGCAGAATAAATCAATAATTTTCTATACTTATTATTTAGTTTAAAGTTTTATGCTTCAGTCTATATGTTTTGATCTCTGTAGCCGCTCATCAATTATACATTCAAGTAAATATTTGTTGAGATTCTGGTATTAATGCTGCTGAACACTACAGTGGTCGGAATCGTAATGCATGCAAGGTGACTCGAAGACCGATGTTGACAACTAAGGGTAGGGACAAAAGCCCTATATCAGATATGATATTGAGGGTTATCAAGAGTATGTCAGCACCTGTTACGCCTCTGCATGTCACTCCCATGGGAGCCTATCGCAGTGATGCACATGTGGGTAGATGGAGTGACAACCCATCAGTACCAGATTGTAGTCACTGGTGCCTGCCTGGGTTGCCAGATATGTGGAATGAAATCGTTTTTACATACCTTCTGCACAAAGATAAGATCACCCAACAACAAACTGCAAAGTGAAGGTAATTTATGACTTTTTATTTTCCGTTGTTATTTCGTGTTCAGGGACTAGTTTTTTAGGTTGAACATTGCAATCATCTGAAATATTCCATACTGAAATTCACTTTTCACTTTTGAATGGAATTCTACCAATAATCTGTTGCTTCTTTTCATACTTGTGTAAACAACTAAATAACAAAGTGCCTCACATACTTCTTAGTTCATACTCCGTACTGTATAATGTTAGGAGATTATTTCCAACTTTAATGCACTCTATCCGTCCAGAATTAATAGTTGTCTGAAACCTCCCTGATTACATGATGATACGTCAAACATGTTACTCCATGTAATTGTTTACTTACCGTATACTTTGGAAATCTGTGCGTGGACATAATTTAATTTAATTTTGAGAAATGTAACAACCTTTACGGAACATTCTGATATACTGCTGTGGTCTCCATAACTTCATCTTCTAAATGCTGTCAACTTAAAGTTCCTTGTTATCTGCCACTTTTATATTCCATGCTCATTTTACATATCCATTTTAAATTATTAATTGATTTCTCGTTTTACTTTGTAATTAATTAATGGCCGGGTCATACTCATTTAGTCTAGCATGGATTAAAGATTGTTTAGGTTGGGGTTATTAGCTTCCAACGACATCTGACTTTATAAAAAAATTAATGTTTATTAGGGAAGCAAAAAATCCGTCAGAAATCAAAATATTGTGTAAATCCTAGAACTGCGGATATATATGTTGATGACACCAAAGGGATATTAAATGAATGGAATTGGGATATGGATGGAATATAATGAAATAGAGCCACTTTGAGGTTCCCTATTAAATGAGGCATGGAAGGGAGCCACTACGAAGAAGTTCCGGGAGTTACGAAAGAAGCTTCGAGCTCATATTGGTCATGGTTTGAGAACGGGAATGGAACTCTATCAGATCGAGTCTCCCGTTGTTCCTCAGTAGCTCAGTGGTAGAGCGGTCGACTGATTGGTCGTAGGTTCGAATCCTACTTGGGGAGATTGGATTCATTCTTCATTCTTTAATTCAGAATGAAGGGGCTCGCTTTGACCGTTAAGAGTAGGTAAGTGAGTGACCCCTTCCCTGTTTTTTTTTCTATCTCGTCGTATCACATTCTCATTCTGTTCTGCGCTATTTGAAAATCTCCGTCAATACTTCAGTGTAGGTGCGGGATAATCTTTTGTTCGGGGCTATTTACAACTAGCCAACTAAGAATTCTCGGATGTACTAGCAGTGCATCAAAGATGCAGTCATTGATTCTCCCGAGAGGCTACAATTACCGCGAGCAAACATAAAACATATTAATGACATGACGAGGAGCACAGGGAGTAATATGTATATAAATTCCAGACAGATGCCAATTATCTATACTTAAAGATGCTATATTGGAGAAATTCACCTATATTGGCTATAGAAATTATGTTGATTAATTAAGGGTCTATGGCATGCAAGAAGATTAAGTAAAGGCTGTTCCATGACATTTCTCTTTATTCTGTTGTTTAACAATCAATTCATACATATCTTCCTTTCTTCGTGTTAGTAAAGGGTCCAGTAATAACTACTAATCAACTATCCACGGTCTGAATTGTAGCTTCTGTTTAGTGACTCTAGGCAAGGATAATCATCATATGACAAACAACCCTGTATATTTTGAATAGATGAACTTTCATGTCTTACCAAATAAGTGCATTTCCTGCCATGCTACATCTTACATTGTACTCCGTAGTTGTTAGTCTCCAACATTGATTCTGTAGATTTTCCTGCTTGAGTTGAAAAAACGGTTTCTGTATTCTGGAAATTAATCATTTGCATTGCCCATATTACTGAACAATTGGTTGATTGCATAAATTCCTTGTCCTGCAGTATTGTATTACAAGTTATGAGACAGAGGTGCAACCACGCAAGTGAAGATAATTATACATGTATCAACGTGTTAAAATGTTGGAACTTTGACCTGTAAAGTTCGTTCAGTCATCAACAGTTGATGTCTTTGGACATCAGGCATCTGAGCTAGAATTGGATAGATAGAATCATAGATGCTAGAAGCCACTCATCCTCGGCAGATTGTTGTATGTATTCTTGCTGTATCTGCTGTATGTTTGTAAATTCTCAGTGGATATTTCTGAAAATTCGTTCATCTGTGCATTGTTTGAAGTCCTATGTCCATATCAACTTGGTTATATACCTAAGAATTCAAGTTTTTTTTGTACACATTATCGAAATCTAGTTGATCATTTTTGCCCGAGAGAGGCTCTTTTTGCAAGAGCCATATATATACGGTTGCTGTGTTGTTGAAATTTTAGACTATAGATCTTGTTGCTGTATGTTCTGTTTTTCTCTGCTTGAAGCTGTCATAAAATCAAAGATATTTTTGGATGACAATTTGATTTCTTTATTCATATTATTGGTTTGGTGGGAAGAAAAAAGGCAGAAATAGAGGAAAGAAAGCCTGTGTAGTGTTGTAAAATACAATCTTCATATCTTAACTGAAGTGTTAAGCTAAAAGATACTTAGAAGCATGCATATAACACATGAACCTATAAATACTCCCTTCAACCTTGTCATTTATCATCAAACTCGAAAACCCAATTCAATCTAATCAAATATCCCAACAAGTCCCAGTTCAAACCCTCAAAAATGGCCTCTACTTCGCCAACTGCTGTCAACAACCCCTTCCCACGCCCAACACCACCCTCTCCAGACTACCACCCAACAGTGATAGTCGTCGTTTTCATTTCATTCGGCTGTATCCTCTTATTTGGAGCCGTTCTGTTTTGCATTTGGTGGCTCATCAAGAAGCACCACAAGTGTAAGCACTGTCATGAGAGGAAAAACATTCACGAGAGGAAAGACGTCGATGTGGATGAGCATTTGAGAGTTCAGGAAATGATCGTGCGTGGACCTCACGGCCCAAAGAAGGTGTTGGTGCAGGTGGATGACGATGTACGTGTGCACAAGGATACTCACAAGGAGGAGATTGATATGGTTGGTAAGGCCTTGTACGGAGAGCGCCGAGAGGGTAGCGCTGGTGCTAGTGGCTCTAACCAAAACCTAACCCTTCCTGAGCGCCAAGTTTGATGTATGCCAATGATAGACACTATTCTTCTATACTATTGTTGTAATAAATTGTTGATATGAACCGCTATATACTATGTCAAGAACAAGAGCCGTAAAATTACTTCTATTAATGTTGATTTAATTTACTGTATAATGTTAATTATATTATTCATTTTTATAACAATCTTTAACGAGTTTATAAAAGTGAAATCGAACTCATAACAAGGATAATGAAAATATACTTGTAAATATAACAGTTGATAATATACATAAAATCAAATTGAAAATATACACAAAATATTCTCCTCGTAAGTTTAGAAGAACGTCTTCAATTATGCAAAGAACATGCTTATTAGCATAGCGTAAGAGGCCTTACAACGAAAGGATACTCCGCAAGATCAACCCATCTCACGGCAGTAGCAGCAACAGCAGATTCTTTAGATCCCATAAAAAGTAGAGCATGACCATTCTTGCTATACTTATTAACCCTAATCTTAACATCTTTCACCTTTTTTTTGTGACTCTAACTTCCTTCCTAGCTGAAATTAATGATGATCAATTTATAGATATAACTATAATGAGTTTATATTTTAGGAAATATTTCTAGGATATTATTTTATTTATGTTAAGTTCTTATTTACATTTACAATTAGGAAGATGTTCTTGTTTCCTAATATGTGACGAAGTAGATTGTGTAATTTGTATAACAAAAATAAATATCATAGATTGCCTTGAGTTCCACGGAATTGTTTTCCTAATTTACATCAACAAATTTTATCCTAATAGAAGAAGATATTTAAAATTTTAATGATTTACATAGTATTGCAAATTTATTTTTTTAAAAAAGATTTATTGTATGTAACCAATATTTTGGTAAGTTAAGCTAATGCTCCTTACAAAAAATAAAAATAAAAATAAAAAAATAAAAAAAAGAGTAAGTTAAGCTAATAAAATTAAGAAAAATGCTATTCATAGTCCTTAGGACTGTGTATAAGCATTAAATTTACATTAAAAATTAGAAAATTATAAAAATATAAATAATAATTACACTAATTTATGCGTGTTTTTGTCATAAATTTCTAATTTTATATAATTTTCAAGGGTGTATTTAATGTTTATATATAGCCCTCAGGGCTACATATAACATTAACCTAAAATTAAAATAGTATGGGCCGAGTATGGTGGTTTTAATAATATCATCATATAATATGACAACTAGTGTGTACCCCGGGCGATCCACCGGGTTTTATAATTAGAATAAAAATAAACAATAATAACTATGAAACTAAATAAGTGCTCTCAAATTGATTTTTTTTGGTGTTTAGAGAGCCACAAGGGCGGGGGTGAGAATCGATCCCAGGATCTCCTGAAATCGGGAGGGAAGCTCTAACCAATTGAGCTATCCCTCACTCTCAATCTCAAATTGATGTTTAATACAAAGAATTTAGTATATTTAACTGCATATGAAAAATAATTAAACGATAGCAAAGATGGTTAGAACATTAGATTATTTCTTATTAGACTTGTGTTCAAACCTTGTAATAAGCAATTTTATTGATGCGGCATATATCTAATACATGTGAAGGGTGCTATGTGACACATATTACGTTGTAGGAACGGTTATTAATATATAAAATAATAAAGTATAGATATTAATATGATGTTTCAATATAATTTTCTTTTTAATAACCTTTATTAATTTTTATAAGTGTATAAGATAGTGAAACTTGTGCATCCATATACCTTTATTTGTGCATTTGTATGTTTGAATATTTCAATTATTAGCTACTACCGGTAGAAAACTAGGGCTACATGTATAGCATTACCCAAAAATTAAATCAAGAATGTTAGGAGTAATAAACAATTTGAAGTGAATAAGTAATAATATATATATATATATATATATATATATATATATATATATATATATATATATATTTTGACATCGTAAATTTCTCGTAATCAATAAGATTTTGTGGTATATAGAAGTACAAGAGCACATAATTGTAAAATTAAAGATTTGAAACAAGCGAGTATTATATATACTACCTCCGATCCAAATTACTTGCAACTTTGGAATATTTTATGTCTCACAAATAATACTCCAAAGTTGCGAGTAATTGGACCGGAGGTAGTACATTAACTAAGTTGTGAGAGAATAAGATTAACAGACTAATAAGAGACAGAAACAATAACAAGAGAACAACGAACTAATCTATGTTGAATTATTAGCAAAGACAATGTTAATATGATCGCAAAGAGTTTGTAGCAATAACAACTTAACAAGCAGCATAGCATAACGCCATTGATAGGCTCTATTCTTCTATACTAATGTTGTAATAAATTGTTGGTATGAACCGCTATATACTGTCAACAACAAGACCTGTAAAATGTTAAATTAATGTTTATACTTGTATGATTTAATTCACTGTATAATGTTGATTATGTTAGTCTTTTTTATATCAATCTTTACTGAGTTTAAAAAAATTACTTGTAAATATAACAGTTGACAACATACATAATCAAATAAAAAATATACACAAAATATTCTCCTCGTAAGTTTAGAAAAACATATTCAATTATGCAAACAACATGCTTAGCACAGCGTAAGGGGCCTAACGAGGAAAGGAGACTTCGGATGATTAACCCATTTGGCGACAGTAGCAGCAACAACAGATTGTTTAGATCCCATTAAAATAAGAGCATGTCCATTCTTACCAAGATCCTTATTAATTCTAACTTCTTTCACCTCTCCAAAAACCTCAAACATATCCCTAATTTGAACCTTACTAAACTCCCCAAATTCAACCTTGTTCCAAGTAACCCTCAAAATCCTAGCCTTAACCCTCCAAACCTCTTCAAAAACCCTAACATTTTCTTCATCATGAATCCTTTTCAACTTCTTCTCATACACTAATCTTTCCTCTTCTTGTACCTTCTTTATTGCCTCCTCTTCCTTCCTCTCATTCTCCTCCCTTTCGCGCTCAACCTTCATCCTCATCTCTTTCTTAACCCTCTCACTCTCCTCCCATTCGCGCTCCATCTTCCTCTGCCTTTCCTTTTCCTTCCTCACATTCATCTCCCACTCGCGTGCCTTCTTCCTAATCCTCTCCAATTCCTTCCTCATACTCATCATCCTTTCGCGTGCCATCCTCATTTGCTCCCTAAAACTCTTTCCCCTTTCGCGCTCCTTCCTTGCCATCCCTTCTTGCATCTTCCCTGTCCTTACTTTTTTCTGCTTTCGTCGTAACCACACCACATCAAACCTCTTCCTGGCTTCCTTATCCATTAAAACCTCGTACGAAGACTGAAGCTGCTGAAAAGCCGCAGTCATAGAACTAACAGTATCACTGTCATCTGTAATACCATCTCTTTTCCTCTTCTTAGAGATCTTATCAGGATGTAACTCAAGTGCTTTCTTTCGATAAGCCGCCTTGATCTCGGCTTCGGTTAGCTTCGTGCAGTCGACTGATTCTACAGAAGACAGACCAAGTACCTCATAATGATCCATCTTTTTCTGTGACTCTAACTTTCTTCCTAACTGAAATTGATGGTCAACTTCTAGGTATAATTATAATGAGTTTATATTTTAGGAAATATAGGATAAGAATTTTATAGTGAAATTATAGATTGTATAATATGTACAACTAAAATAAATAATAATGAAATAAAATTATAGATTGCCTTGAGTTCCACGGATTCGTTTTCCTAATTTACATCAAATTACATCAACAAATTTTATCCTAATAGAAGAAGATATTTAAAATTTTAATGATTTACAGAATATTAGATTTATTTTTTAATAAAATTATTTATTGGATGTAACTAACATTTTAGTAAAGTTAAGCTTATATATATCCCTCCCGTAAAAAAAGGGTAAGTTAAGCTAATAAAAATAGTATGGATATATACTACGTAAATAATATCATCATATAACATTATAACATGTTAATATAATGTCATGCACAATATTATTATCTTTTCAATAACTTTTATTAATTATTAAAGTGTATAAAATAGTCAAACTTATGCATCCATATACCTTTAATTGTGTATTTGTATGTTTGACTGTATCAATTATTAGCAACTCGAAATACTTAGGGGAGTATTTACTTATTTTCTTGATTTAAATTTTAATAATATAAAAACAAAAAATGAAATACAATTTACGACATCCATTTCAACTCTTTATTACTCCGTACCTAATTCTTTCTTTAATTTCTATCCTTAAACATCAATGGAAAACTTTTGTATACACCCGTTTTACACTAATATTAGTGTACATCAAGCAGTATAATGGTAACTTTTAGCTAATTTAGGGTAACTTTTTGATTTTTTTGGGTAACTTTAAACATAATATAATTTTTATACAAATAGACAACATGAAAAGTTTTATAAAGTTAATGTAATTACATTCAGTTATTAATAATTGATTTTTAGTCATTTAAAATGTGATTCTTTATTAATAAAGCGTAGATAATTTTTATTTGTATTGGGTTACTTTTATGCATATAGAAGGTAACTTTTATTCATTTTAGGGGTAACTTTTGATCACTTTAGGCTATCTTTATAATGGATGTACAATAATTTTTGGATCCGCTCTTGGTACCGTGCACCCGACTAATTAGAGTTGAAAAGAAAAAAAAAATTATTATTTTTACATACATAATTAAAATTACAAGGAGAAAGAGAAATAAGACTAGAAAATAAATTTTGTAAATTGTATTTAAAAAGTAAATCAAGAAAATAGATAAATAATTAAAATTGAATTAGTCAGATTTTTTTTGACATTGTAATCATTAAGATTTGGTGGTATATAGAGAAGCATGCACATAATTGTGGAATTAAAACGTTTTAGTGCATATTAACAAGCTAAAAGATATACATTTACTAAGCTAATGATAGATTAAGATTAACAGGCTATTAACAATAACAGATAGAAACAAAAGAACAACTAATCTATGTTGAATTATTAACAAAGACAATAATGATCGCAAAGAGTTCGTAGCAATAACAACTTAACAAGCAGAGCATAGCATAACGCCATTACGTAACATATCTATTTCTTGTAAAGTATGCATGAATTCACTAGCTAACTAAACAACAAATAAAAAGTTCATCAATTGTGGTGGAATAATTAACGAATATCCAATTGAGATTAATTAATGGAACTGTGGATCCCTAATTACAATTCAATTCTAACAATATAATTGTCTCGATTAAATTAGGCTAGTATTAGGGGAAAAAAAAAGTAAAAACAGAAAGGAAAATTACTTGCCATCATCCCATACGCATTGTAGAATTGTAGCTTTGACGCACATGTGTTACTCGATAACTCATATCGTCCATTGTATAGTGTAACATTAACATCAAATGAAAAAGAAATTATATTAGAAGAGGTTATTGAGAAATTATCAAATTTGAAACTATATTAGAAAAAAATCAAAGAAATTTAGAACTACACCTGTTTCAATTCTGTTATTTAGATGAAATACTACAAGAGGGGGGGTGAATTGTAGTATGGAGATCGCTAGGTACTTTTTGCGGAATTAAAAGAAACTTAACGCAATAGAGAAATAGTGCAAGAGAGATTTTACAAGGAAAACTTCCTAGGCCAAATAGGAAGTGAAAAACCTCGACCCAAAGGGATTTTGACTCAAAACATTCCACTAAAATAGGCCAACGACTCTGTTACAACCTATGAGGAACTTGAGCCTCTACCGAGTTCCTCAACGAACTCATATCCCCAACAACTATTCCCTCTAATAGTTGCAGCTCGAAATCTTCCCTCAAAGATCTCTCTTCTCACTCAAGACTTCGCTCAAAACCTTACTCTTTCTCTTTCTCTCAAGCTTCACTCAAAGCCTTCTCTACATACAAAGAACTCACTCAAGTTCTCACCCCAATACAAGAGTTCACTCAAACCCTTATTAATTCCCCATTACAAGAGTTCACTCAAACCCTTAAACAACTCTCAAATACATATAAAAGATATAATGTATAAAACTATTATGTTGGACACTTTGAGATATGTAAGGAACTTGGACACTTTGAGATATGTAAGGAACTTGGAACCTAGAGGAACTGGCTTATCAATGTGGAGAGAAAATATATTTCTTTTCTACTGCTCTACCACTTTGGATAAACTCCATTATGGAATGACTCAATTAAGCCAGACCATTTGGAATGAATGAAAACTTCTCTTTTTATAGTGCTTCAAAGACAAACCCATTCACCCCATGATCTTCAACCATAATAGTAGTGCTTCCTAAATTCTAGGCATTATCTCCATTAACTCCATGAACATAAGAAGTAATGGAAGACATGGATTGGAGTTAAAAACATGTTCTCCATGATCTCCTTATTTTTCTCCAGTAAAAAGCTGTTTCAAATTAAACGTGAAAAGTAATTTTTATTTTTCCAAAAACTTAATAAATAAAAATAGAAAATACAAGAAAATAAAATACTAACCAAATCAGATTTTTATCAATTAAAAACTGATTCGGAATTTATTCATTAAAAATAAATATTTTATAAAAATATTTTATCCCAAAATAACTATCCTATTTAATTTGAAATATTAAACCAATTAGAGATTAGATAGGAAACAACCTAAAACATATCCCTAAAATATAGGAGAAAATAAAGAGAATAAAATATCATTTTGACTAAAAAGAAAATCAGATTTTATTTTTTACAAACTTATCTTTTATAAAATAAAATCTATTTAAAATAAATTATACCAAGTCAAAACTAATTACCTAGAAAGTAGGCAAAGATAATGCAATGACTACTAACATGGAAAACTGACTTCTAGTGCTGTGTAAACGTGTGTTTCTCTTATACACGAATTTTAGACTCACCCGTAAGGAACTGGCTGGTCAGCAACACCCAGTTCCTTCCAGACTGTCAGTTCCTTCCAGACTGAAGTTCCAATTTAGTTCCATAGGCATGTTCCAAACAATTTCTCGTGTCCAACATACTTACATGATTCCTAGAAAAATATACTCCTATTTTTCTGTCTTGAAGCTTCTACTCCAAAGCTTATGTTCCTTTAGAGGAACTTCTCTTCTCTTGTTCTCACATACGAATTGCTGCTTATTCCTTGCAAAGAACTACTTCTCATTCTTCTTAGGAACTGCATACAAAGTCTAACAATACGTTTGTACGTTTAGACTTCTTCTCTTTGTGTTCCCCCTTGGAAACTCTTCTTCTCTTTGTGTTCCCCCTGAGGAACTTAAGCACGATCCATACATTGTATGTTGGAACCATCTTCAATAATGATCTAACCTGTACTCAATCATCTTCTTGCTTCATGACTTGTTCATGCACATCTCAATACACATGTTAGTTAGATAAGCATCATTTGTTCACAATCATCAAAACCTTACAACAATTTCCCCCTTTTTGATGATGACAAACAAATGATGCTTATCACAAGATAAATAACAGAAGATGTATATATATTCCCCCTTAATCATGCAAATTAGGAGTTATTGAACAATTCATGCATGTACGATAAGGAACTACTCATAAAAGGACAATAACATGTTTAAAGTACATGATATGGATGTTCATCAATATGACTTAGCTTAACTATATAAATAAATATTCAATACGCATCACTCATGAATAAATATTCAATAAGCATTTCAATTAGCACATTACATAATAAGCATCAAACACAAATATTCTTCCCCATTTTGTCATTATCGAAAAGGGTATTCTTGCACACAATTATTAATTCAATTCAATCATTTATGCATACATACGTAAGGGAAAATGTCACACATACCACCATAAAAATGGTTAAACACTTGGTATTCCTAAAAGTTTAAGAGACTCAATTTTCAAAATAGGATGCTGCTACACAAATTTCCAATTCACAATCCAAAGATCCAACTTCAAAACCAATGAAGGAACTTGACATATAAGATACAAAATCAAGCAAAGATCGATTTTGAAAGTTTGTTAGAGAAAAAGGATAATGAATATTTGGCTCAAAAGATACGAAAGAAGATAATGGAAATATTTCGAGTAGAAGGAACTTGAGACGAATGTTGTGCTCTTAGTTTAGAAAGTTTGAGATAAGGTTCTTAACAATCATAAGAGTTTAATTACCTTCATCTCACACTCTTGAATGTTCAACGAAACACAATATACACACATAATTACCTTGGTATATATGTACTTACCAAGTTCCCTGCACTTGAACCACCAACCTTCCTTAAGGAACATGTTCATGAGTGAAACTTGAATATTCATAATCAAGTTCTTTCAACATCTCCTTTTGTTCCTTAGCTTTCTCAAGATTCATGAATAAAATCCTTCATCATCTAGGAAATAAAGATTCAATATTCACCTTTTTTTTTTTTTTTTGGGCAACTTTCAAATTTGAATAACAAATCCAAATGTATGTACTCAGCATTGCCAGTTAAATGCCTCTTATTAAATCCCTATGATCGGTAAATAAAACCAGACACCCACCAACCCGTCTTCACAGTAAAAAAA